CAGCTTCATGGCCTTGGTGTTTGGGAATTCTCCCCTGCAACATGGAGGTTAGACAATGAGGGAAAAGCAGAATTTCAGAGACCAGGCTGGCTACCTGGCTAGAGGGACAGACCTAAATTTTGGAAGGACTGATTGCTTTTATTTCCTCTCCCTTTTGAATGAAGGAAAAAAGAAAAGAAAAAGAAATAAAAATGAAAGGACACAATTGGTCCTTAGTTTCCAAACCAGATGAATGAAGAAAGAAAGAAAGAAAGAAAGAAAGAAAGAAAGAAAGAAAGAAAGAAAGAAATTAAAAGGACATGACCGCTCCTAGGTGTGGTGGAGATTTACTGTTGATAAAAGGGAGAGCATAACTAGAAGCAGGGATATCTGGGAGAGTCTAGAGTGAACATGACCAGACTGACCTAGACCATGTGAGAAGGGGCTGGAGGAGGGAGAATGGAGAGGAGCCACCCACCAAGAGGGGCAGCCTGGGCCAAGACTAGACAAGAGAGTAGCCAAAAGAGACCAGGTAACCAAAATGGCTGGATTATATGGAAAAGGGCAGCCCAGCCCCTGAGCTGGAGAGGTCAGGGTAGAGGGCAGGGTATTCTAGCCATACCCTGTAACCCTATAATCAGTAAGGACTGAGGGATGCAGGGAAAACCTGGCAGCCAGGTCTCCTTTGATGCATTAAATGAACACCACAGCTGCTTGTCCTGATTTGAGACCTAACATCTATATATCCTAACATCTATATAAAGATGAGCTGAAAGACAGGTTTTTGGCCTACTATCCTTTCCAATTTTGATGGCCTTATGCAAAGGGTCACAATATATACTATGGGAACTAGTTTCTCTGCTTTATTGTTTGAGACTGGGGACTTCAGTCTTCCCCAGAGAGAAATTCTCAGCACTGAGATATAAAAGAAAAACTTTTTATCTAGTATGCAGCTGTAGCCTTTAGCTATTGCTTTAAAATGTCCAGGCTAGATCACAATTAACTTTTGGTTTATAGAGGGTTAGGCATTGTCATTAATCTTGTGACCAATTTAGAGTGTTCTTTTCATCCTGCCCCAAAGGAGATTTTTTTTCTGGACTTAAGCAAGTTTTACAGATGCTGAGATTTTAAGATTTCTTGTCAGGACATTCATATCATTAACAAACAGAAATTACTGTCTAAGTGGATATTGATGATGGTCACTTCCCAAGGAAAAGATTATGAACTTTTTAAAAAAAGGAAGGCTAAGCAGTTTTACAAAGCAGTCAGCAGTTCAGTGCTAGTTTTGCTGTCTCAGATCCTGTTCTGTTTCCCTTGTTTTTTTTTTTTTTTTTTTGGTTCTTTCAAGGAAGGGTTTCATCTGGAACTTGCTCTGTAGACAAGAGCTGGTCTCGAACTCAGAAATCCTCCTGCCTCTGTCTCCCCAATACTGGGACTAAAGGCATGTGCCATTACTGCCCAGTTCCTATTCTGTCTTCTTTTCTTCTTTTTCTTTCTTTAAAGCTTTCAATTTCAGGTTTATTTTCAGTGTTTCACACAGAATACTTGTAATGTTAGTGATGTGGACACCAACAGCTTTTCAGTTACAAAGTGCCACACTTTCTGGCAAATATTTTTCTAGACAAGATAACCAAATAAAACGCAATTTCAGGAGATGGTATTATTACACTCCACCCAAATAACAAAGCTAGCCGTGGTTAAAATCAGAAACACTATTCACCTAGAGTAACCTCTGAGCTTCTACACACCTGGGAAAATGGCCCGGAAACTGCAGAACACCAAACTACAAAATTCACTTTGGAAAAGGGAGTCATTTTTCCAATTTTGGCCTTAAGACCATTTTTTTAGTTGCTTAAAAGAAATCTGGTGAGTATAATGATGGAAGCAGGAAAAGGGGGCTGCAGTTAATAGGTTCAACCCTCTGAAGATCACTCAGTTAGGGAAAGGAGAAAATGCCTAGAACAAGGATGTGTTATAAATAAGAGTCTTTCCTCAAGATGGACAGGTTCTTCACCTGTGGAAGAAGTTTTCTCACAAAGTCATGTTTATAATGTCTTCTGTAAAGTGTAGGCCGACAACTGCCAATGATTCTTCTTTTACTGAAACAGTATCACAAGAGTCCACAGATTCCTCTAAAAGCTCTTCTACTCCGTCATTCAGATAACCAGTTTTCAGAATGTGGTCAATGTTGGCTACACCATCTGCAGTCCTTAGGTCTCCTTGGGAATCTCCCAGCAGAATGGTGTTGCTGTTGTCTTTCAGTTGGCAGAAATAATTTGTATTTTTCAAGGCACCATTATGTTCATTGAATACATGAATCAGTTCTCCTTTGAGTCCTTTCAGTACTCCATTTTCACCAAAATCCATGAAGTTAGACACTGCTTTGGTGTTTGAATGATGGACTCCAGACTGATGGATAACTTTTTAAAAATTTATTTCTTTATTTATTATGTATTCAGAAGAGGGCACCTGGTCTCATTATAGATGGTTATGAGCCACCATATGGTTTCTTGGAGTTGAACTCAGGATCTTTGAAAGAGAAACCACTGCTCTTAACCTCTCCAGCCCAAAATGCATGTATTGGGGTTTTTTGTTTTGTTTTATGATTTGTTTTGCTTGTTTTTTGTTTGTTTGTTTTTGGCTTTTCGAGACAGGGTTTCTCTGTGTAGCCTTGGCTGACCTGGATTCACTTTGTAGACCAGGCTGGCCTGAACTCACAGAAATCTACCTGCCTCTGCCTCCCAAGTGCTGGGATTAAAGGCATGTGCCACCACTGCCCAATTTACGCACAATACCAATACCAGCCAAAAATAGGAACACAGGGATACTATGATGTTGTACCAAAGAATTTGTTTGCCAAAGAAATTCCCATATCCTCCTTCCTTGTGCAAGACATCTGAATCTGCCACAATCTGTTTAGGTTTGGCTTTCGGTATGCCTTGTTCAATAAGCAAACCGTATGATTTAGTATACCACTCAAACATGTAAGGGAACTCCTCTTCCAGTGAGAGCTGGATCAACTTCAATAGGGTGATACTGCCCCTTTAACTACATCAACTTTCTCTCTCATTCATCTGTAACAAGCTGACAGTTGTCAATGATATTATGACATGTTGGGCATCTTTTCCCATTGTAGGAAAACCTGCTTAATGTCATATCAAGGTCTGTTATTATCTGAAGTTTGGCAGCTCCTCCTTTAATGAGAACACAGATAATTTCTACTCTTCTGGGGTTCTTGATACGTGTTTTGCCAAGGTCACAAGACCCCAAAAGACACCAGAAGTCAGAAATTGTATGCAAAAACAAAGAACCTTTATTTGGGCTTAAGCTTGGGCTCCCAGCATGAACTGTCACAGCAGTTAGAGGCTAGCTTTTATAGGGTTTTTAGCAAGGGGAAGGAGCTTCTAGACTTGGCAGTTACGTGAATGGGTGACATTTTGCAAGAGCAAGCTTATTACATAGTGATTGGTTAAAGGCAAGCTGTATACATCTGGAATAACTATTTTGGTAACCATAATGGCAACATACAATTGTTTTAGTAACCACAAGGGCAAAGGTCGTTTTGACCTTTGTTTTGTCGTTTTCTGGTCGGCTGGTTTCCGGGTTGGCTCATTTTGTGGTCATTCTCAGAAATGTTGTGGGTTTCTACAATTATAAACACGTTTTTCTGAAGCTGTGTTAAGTTTTAGGTCACGTAAGATGGAGGCCAGTGACAAAACGGAGTCTGTTAGTTTCAGGCTCGTCATAAGAACTGAGCTTTTCTGAAATTCTGCCATCATCCCAAAGATCTTGGTCTTGCAGCCCATCTATCTCTTCAAGGTGAATATGTACTGGGCCAGCACCACGCCCTCCTCCAAAGTGACCACTAGTGCCACAGCCATGCGTGCTCCAGATGCGGAAGCCCAAGACCTGCGGGTATGAGCCCAGGGGCCCAGAGCTCCGCCCCGCGCAGGGGAAAAGCAAGGAGGTCCCCTTATTCTGTTTTCTTATTTCTATGTATCCTAATGGAAAAATAAAAAGCCCTAGCATAATGCTGGCAACACTATTTTACAAGCAATACAGGGTCAGAGGCAGGGCAGGACAGGTGTCCAACCACAAGGTATCTGCGGTTGGGCGCCTGAAACAATCGGGACACCTAAGATAAGAGCCGGGAGTCTTTCCCGCCTTCTCTAAACCGGCTACGTGACTTAGCCCACATCTGCTTTCCCGCCTTCCCTGCTCCAAATACGTAACCTAACTATGGCTTTGTTCAAATCCCCCAATCAGATCCCCGTAACTATGCTTCTCGCTTCTGTAAATGTGCTTCTTGCTCCCTAACCCTATAAAAACCCGTCACCCCAACCGAGGGGCGCGCAGGTCTTCCGAAAGGCTTTGTCGCCCCGGGTACCCGTGTATCGAAATAAACCTCTTGCGGCTTGCATCCGAAGGCTGGTCTCGCTGATTCTTGGGAAGTGGGGTCTCCCCGTCTAGAGAGGCTCTAGCCAGAGTCTTTCA